GACACTATCGAGCAGAGCGAGATAGTGGAGTAAATTGGTTCTTCTCTACTCACTCTCTAGCTCTTCTCTAGACTATCGAGCAGAGCGAGATAGTCTTTTCTCTCACTCCTCTGTAGTTTCTCTTTAGCTCTTCTCTAGCTCTTCTCTAGCTTCTCTCTAGCTTCGACACTATCTCGCTGTGCTCGATAGTGGAGTAAATTGGTTCTTCTCTACTCACTCTGTAGCTCTTCTCTCTCTCTTCTCTAGACTATCGAGCAGAGCGAGATAGTCTCTTCTCAAGCTCTTTTCAAGCTCTTCTCTAGCTCTTCTCGCACCCTTCTCTAGACTATCTTGCACCTCTCAAGCTCATCCTTTATTTTATACTGCTCGATAGTGTCTCTCTTCTCTACGTTATACTGCTCCACTATCTCGCTCTGCTCGATAGTCTCCTCTCTAGCTTTTCTAGCTTTCTCTAGACTATCGAGCGGAGCGACATAGTCTTGAAAGTGGACAGAGAGAGAGTAGAGTAGAAAGAAGAGCAGACAATAGAGAGTAGAGAGAAGAGTAGAAAGAAGAGCAGACAGTAGAGAGTAGAGAGAGGAGTAGAGAGTGTAGAGTGTAGAGAAATGAGGAGTCGAGAGTAGAGAGTAGAGTAGATAGATAGTCTCAAGAGTAGAGAGAGGAGTAGAAAGTAGAGACTATAGACTATCTCGCTCTGCTCGATAGTCTAGAGAGTAGAGAGAAGAGAGCAGTTACAACACTACCTCGCTCTGCTCGGTAGTGTTGCTCGATAGTCTAGAGTAGAGAGTAGAGACTATAGACTACCCCGCTCTGCTCGATAGTCTCGAGAGTAGAAAGTAGAGACTATAGACTATCTCGCTCTGCTCGATAGTCTAGAGAAGAGAGCAGTTACAACACTACCTCGCTCTGCTCGTTAGTGTCGCTCGTCTAGTCTCTAGTCCCTTCTCTCTCTCCACTATCGAGCACAGAGACAAGGCGAGTGAAACAAGTCTAGTCGATAGAAAGTATAGAGAGAAGAGTAGTGAGGAGAGATAGTCGATAGAGAGTATAGAGAGAAGAGTAGTGAGCAGAGATAGAGTATCGAGCAGGGATAGTCTATAGAGGATAGTTCGTAGATACAGAGAAGAGAGGAGAGAATAGAGAAGAGTAGTTAGTGTATAGTATAGAATAGTGTATAGTGTAAACATCCATATAAAACAGCAACTCTTTCGAGCACAGCGAGATAGTGTGGTAACAAACCACTAAGTGCTGCTCCACTACCTCGCTTTGCTCGATAGTGTAGCTCAATAGTGCCGCTACAAAAGCATGGGTAAGAAGATAGCAGGAAGCAAAGCTCTGAGATTCGCTAATTTGGAAACACCACTATTAGCGAGGGCCGCAATATCTGCAGCTGATGAAGCTGCGGAGGCAACTTCATCATAAGCAGGTGCTCCATCTACTACTACTCCTTCTCCATCAGCTACAGCTTCTTCAGCAGCTACTTCCACTGCTGCTTCCGCTTCGTCTGTAACAACAACATAACTGGTAAGCGTGATTGTAGTGTAGCTCGTACTCTCCACAGTAGTGGTAACATCACACTCTTCTCCGTCACAGAGAGTAATTGTAACATCTGTAGTCACAGCTTGTACTTGCGTCTCGGTAGTGTACGACACAGGACAGTAGGTGGTGAAGATAGTCTTTTGTGTAGTAATGTACTCACTACACCTATCCTCTTCACATGAAGTAACAGTGATTGTGGTCTCGCCAGCATATGTAGTAAGAACATTCTCGATAGACATAGGATACTCAGTGACTTCTGCACCATCGGTGCTTTCAACTGGACAGTAGGTGGTGATGATAGTCTTTTGAACTGTAAGATACTCACTGCATCTATCTTCCTCACATGATGTGACGGTGATTGTTGTCTCGCCAACATAGGTGGTAAGAGCTGCTTCAGTAGTAGCTGCTGCTTCTTCAGTGATGGCTGCTCCCTCTTCAGTCACTGAAGCAGCTGCTTCAGTGGCAGAAGCTTCTTCAGTAGCAGCTGCTCCCTCTTCAGTTACTGAAGCCACTGCTTCAGTAACTTCCTCTGCCTTATTAACAGCAACAACTTCAAGTACAACACAACCTTCATCAGAGCCAACATAGACAACAAATCCTACATCAGCAGGACATGCTGAGAACACCACAGGCTCGTTACGCTTCAGAAGAGTGATATCACTGTTGGTGACATCAAAGGTGATGATGTTTCCTTCAACTCCCCATCCTTGTGCAGCTTCTCCAACATCACCGACGGATAACGCTCCATCAGATCCAGCATGGACATACTGCTCTCCAAGTTTGAGGTACCCGTCAACGAGGTTAAATGTGGCTTCACCACCATTCAACAAGGTAATATGTGTTTCATTTGTTCCCAAAGTAACAATCTCATTCTCCAATAATGTGAGAAGGATAAATGGCTCATCTGGATTAACCAAGTCAGTAGGTAATGTAACAACTGGTTCTGCAGTAGCAACTGGTTCTTCGGTATTAATTGGTTCTTCGGTAACAGCTGGTTCTTCGGTAACAGCTGGTTCTTCGGTAACAATTGGCTCTTCGGTAACAGCTGGTTCTTCGGTAACAGCTGGCTCTTCGGTATTAATTGGTTCTTCGGTAGCAATTGGCTCTTCGGTAACAACTGGTTCTTCGGTAGCAATTGGCTCTTCGGTAACAACTGGTTCTTCTGGCTCTTCGGTAACAACTGGTTCTTCTGGCTCTTCAGTAACAGCTGGTTCTTCTGGCTCTTCGGTAACAGCTGGTTCTTCAGTAACAGCTGGTTCTTCTGGCTCTTCGGTAACAGCTGGCTCTTCTGGCTCTTCGGTAACAGCTGGCTCTTCTGGCTCTTCAGTGACTTCTGGTTCTTCAGTGGCGACTGGCTCTTCAGTTGGATTTTCTGGGTCTTCAACAACTGGTTCTTCAACAATTTCTGGGTCTTCAACCACTGGTTCTTCAGTGGCTTCTGGGTCTTCAACAACTGGTTCTTCAGTGGCTTCTGGGTCTTCAACAACTGGTTCTTCAGTGGCTTCTGGGTCTTCAACAACTGGTTCTTCAGTGGCTTCTGGGTCTTCAACAACTGGTTCTTCAACAATTTCTGGGTCTTCAGTAACTGGTTCTTCAGTTGCTTCTGGGTCTTCAACAACTGGTTCTTCAACAATTTCTGGGTCTTCAACAACTGGTTCTTCAACAATTTCTGGGTCTTCAGTAACTGGTTCTTCAACAACTGGTTCTTCAACAATTTCTGTCTCATCTTCTATCACTTCACGATGAAAGGTCACTCCCTGGCATCCGTCTCCTCCTGCAATCTGAATCTGGTAGGGTGGTCCCACTTCATTCACAGAACAGGCATATAATGGAAACGAATAAGCTATGTCGCTCTGTTGAGCCTCAGGGTCAAAAACAAGCCATTGACTCGCAGTCCCTCCCGCAGGAACAACTATTAATAAACCACTTTCAGAATCATGTGAAACCTTGGACTCCTCATCATCAAGGAGGAGTAAATTGTACAGGGAATCAAATGTGAACAAAGTGCCACTTTCTTCTACCAAATAAACTTGCTGCTCAGATGCAGTCAAAAAGACACTAATACCATCAATCTCAGATGTGACTATAAAAGTTTTGTCTATAGCAGATACTAATCCTGAACCAAGGGCCAAGAGACCAGAAAACAAACTAATCCTCATGTCTTAAACGGCAAAAGAATGAATAAAAACCTAGGGGTTAAGACATAAGACCAGAAAATCTTTGAAATCCTGGAATCCTTCTTCTTTTTATATTAAAACAAACCTATCCTCCTTCATTTGTTGTGGTCTTTTCATTATTGGTAATATTGCAAGCCCATCTTTCTCTTGCTTACTTCCCCATGTACTCCACCAATCACTGGTTGATTGTGGAAAGAAAAAAAAATAACTAGTTGAAAAATAAGTAGAAAAGAAAAATAATAAAATCGAAATCGAAAACAAACTACACAATTCTTGGTCCTGGTTAGTACACTACACAATTCTTGGTCCTGGTTAGTAATCTCCTATTATTTATTATTTATTGAAGGCCAACTACGCGGTTGTTTTTTTGTTTGGTCTTGTACTTTTGCAAAAATGCTTTATAATTTGTGGTCTCATGGAGAATCTTGAAGCGCGATTCACGAAAAGATCTTGATTTTCACGGTTATAATAAATGAAGGAAGAAAAAAAAGCAGTGGAAGGCTTGTATATACTACCCCGCCTCCTCACTCAACACGTCCACAGTATTCCATCGACTCTTTGAGATAAACTTTCGCACCTTCAATATATCCCCCAAACTTCCACTTTTATCCTCTGCTTGTTCTTCTCCCTCTCTAAGATCCCAATAATAGTATCCACGCCCATCCTCACTCTATACTCTCCTCTATACT